AATCATCTTTTTTATGTATTGTTATTATTTTAAAATTACCAATGAAAGGTTTTATTGTTATTTAAACTGTGTATTCACAATAATTTAATAATGACTATAGTCAATAAAAGAGTTGTTGAGTAAAAATTATCGTTATTTGTATAAAAATTCAGTTTATTTATATTTTAACGATTGGAAGAGATTCCTTCGCATCATTGAAATTATATTAAAAATATTTTATTTGCTTTTAGGCAAATAAAACTATTGTAAAAAAGTGAATTTTAAAAACAAATATTTTTTCCTCTAAAATTTTACATTTGAGTGGTGATTTATATAAATAACTTTTTCAAAATTCAATCAAAAAATATTTTGTATCATAAAAACGATATCATAGTGAAAACAGTTTTTATAAAATGCTTTTTCTCGATGTTCGAATAATGAAACACAAACAATAACTAATATAAATGCAATAATTGACAGCATGACAATTGATTTACAATTGAATGAAACTTAGAGCTGTTTATTGAACATTCATGATATTACATTTAACGTATTCACAAACGTTCATTAGAATAGAAAATGTAGGTGCTTTTTCACCTTTTTTCAATTAGAGTAAAATTGGAATGTAATTTATTTACTTTTATGTAGCAACATAACTATTTATATTTATGTTGCTATACCTATATTTACTCCAACTCTTACTCTGTTGATTGCTCTTAAAAACGTATAACACTAATTACAGGCATATTTGCCAACAACACCGCGTTGAAACGAATGATAATACCATCAAATTTTAAAGTGAAAATGAAATCTACAGAAACTTAGACAGAGATTTTGTTGAAATAGCATATTAAAATAAAACTCTCATTACCAAAAGACATATAATTGTTGTGGATTATAAGACGTCTTAAACCAAAACTGGAAATTGAAATAATGATTGTGTAAGAGAATAAGCAGTTTTAATCCAAGACAACAGTGTCAGCCATATGAAAGATGTAGTTAATTAGTGGCTTTATTGTTTACGTCCAACATAGCGGTCAATTGTTTTCGCCGCTAGAAATTGTCATATTTGGCGTTCAGAAAGTTTGTTTTTATATTTTGAAAGAACTTAATGAATTGATTTCATTATTCAAATTGGTTATAAGTGTTGTTAATATGCGTACACGCTTTTTATTGTTATCGACTAAAAAGCGATCAGTTTTTAATAAAGCCTCGTTGTGTTATATGAAGTATTTCATTGGTGTTTTGTCTCAAAAAGATACTCAAAAATCAAAAAGGCCGTGTTTTTTTGTTTTTAATAATCAGCTTTGTACTTGCCTAAAGTCCGAACATACTCTTGTCATTTACAAAAGTATTTATTTAATTTGTGTATTGTCATACTTTTTTATTGTTAATTTAAAAACAAATCTTATTTTACTTTGTTTTCTTCTGTATATTATAATGTTTAATTATCATTTATAATAATTGTAATTAGTTAATAAAAATAATCAAATTGTAAATAAAATTCTGGTCGTTCCTATTGTCAATACACATTTGAATATGAGTTAAACCTTTTTGTTGAATTTATTTTCAGTGTTGTGTATGATGTTTAATACTTTTTGTTTGTGTAATGTTATGCATGGGATAAACTTTTGAACAGAAAATGTATTATATAAACCCAGATTACCTTATTTAAATACCAATTGAAATTCGTTTTGTGTTATATCAATGTTAATACAATTTAGAGAATGTTTATTTTTTATCCAATAAATCAAACTTCCAAAATTAATATTTGTGAATATTTTTGTTTTCATTTATCCATATAAAGAAATTATTAAACTTGAGTTGTTAAATTTTATTCACAACCAACCAATTATTGTTTTTACATAAGATTACATAATTTTAAAAATTATTGAAATATAAGACATTTATAATTGTTATATAAATAGATACAAACACACAAAAACAAATTATTTATTTTATCTTAATTGTGGAACAAATGAATCGATAGTAATTAAATTATTGTTTCTTATAAATAATCCATTGCTTTTAGTATATTGAAAATGAAAATAAATCAGTTAAATTTAAACAACAAAATGCAGAAGCTTATAATAGTTTATTGATGAATGTACACAAAAGAAAGCATAATTTAAACACTGTACATATCTCTTTCTCCATAAATGCTTGCATTCTTGTTGATAACTCTCTCGTTTGCTAAAGTTGATTTTTCTATCGTTGATTACACCCATTGTGGAGGAAAAGCCCTCTATCGTTTATATGCTATTGATAAGTGCAAAAAGACTGGAACTGGCTCAGTGATGTACACAAATAGAAGTCCTTCTGAGTATTATCCAAACCAGAACAAATACAGCAAATCGGACTGTACAGGTACTCCAAGCACAATGCAGGTAGTTGGTCCTCAGTATGTAAAAGAAGCTCCATCTGGTGTTAAATATCTTGGCTTCCTTGGTGATAAAAACGTGAACTGTGCTGATGGCGACACCATTGACGGTGTTTACTATACAGACGCGTGCTTCCAAGAAGATTTCTTTTTCAGATACACAATTTTAAATGAAGATGGTAAAAACAAATTGGTCAAAAGAGGTTTCACTTCGGGGGTGTGCGCTGAAGATCAATTCAATGAAGATATTACAACCGAAAGAAATGAATGTAACAAGTGCACTGATGGGGTGCTGTTTAGATGTTATGGTGTTGATGGGGTGGCTGCATGGTCAGACCCGACCGAAAAAGCACCTGAAGTACCTTCTGATAAACCATCTGGAGATCACTCGGAAACAGATGATGAGAATAACAACCAAGAAAATTCAGCAATTCCAGTTTATTTGTGTATTATTCTTGTTGTGTTTGCTGTTCTTATCTAATTAATTGATTTACAAATTTATTAAGATATCATCAAAAACATTCGAAGTACCATAAGTTACTTATACTTTTTTATTTTAATTGGAATATATTGTATCAAGTTGTTATAATATCAATATATTATAATATTTATTATTTTGTATTTTAAAAATAATAAAATGTGTCAATGTTATGATAAATATAGACTATTGGTTTAAGTTATAATAACTTATAATTTATTATTTAATTATTTTAAGGTGTGATGTTTACAAGCAATATTTTTTAATAATAAAGTGACCATTTTTATTGTATAATTCATCGAAATATGGTAATAAAAAACAACCAAAACATTTCAAAAAACATGATAATGGTAAACACATGATAACATCAAACGCAATAATGACGAACACTTGTCAAAACTCAAACACTTTGTGTTTTTGTAAACATTTGAATAACATTTAAACTCAGAGAATTGTAAAAAGAGACAACATGTCGATCGTTAACCTTGCTGGAAGATACACTGGACAATGCCTTTCTAACGAACACAGCGCCGTCATTGCAGCAGCTGAGAAATACACTGGACAATGTCTTTCGGATGAAAACCGAGCGCTTGTTGCTGTAGCAGAAAAATACACTGGAAAGTGTATATCCAATGTCTCCAGTGCTCTTGTGTACGTTGCCGAGAAATACACCGGAAGATGTCTTTCTGGTGATTCCAATGCTTATGACGCTATAATGAGTAAGCATGGGCGATTCAACTGTAACAGTAAATACTATGCCATTCTTGCTG